GCCAGAGGGATAACAATGGGAGGGCCAAAGAGAAGGATGTACAAGAGTCCATAGGCTTGAGAGAACTTAGTTCAGGAAGCTGGGACCGTCACTCAGTGTGGTCAGAACCAAGGGTGGTCCCTGGAGGGGGATGAGATGGAGAGAGAAACCTGCCCTCATCCCGAGGGTCTTGAATGTGAGGCTAAGGCAGTTTTAGAAAATAGGGAGCCATAGCAGGTTTTCAGTGAGGCTGGCCTTCTAGAATGATCATTCACGTGGCCAGGGCAGATGGTGGATTAGAGCCAGCAAGAGTTGAAGCTGAGGCTACAGTGCAGGTGAGCGAGGATGGTGGCCTAGACCCGGGCTGGGATGGAGACCCTGTGAGAGCCATTTGAGGGACAGTGACCCCAGAGGGGTTCCATGTGGCTGGTGCCTCCGTTACAGAATTTTCCCCATTCCCACCTTGTCTCAACTGGGCCATAGAACTCGTGGCCTGGGTCAAACACACCCCTCACTGTGGTCAATTAATTTCATCTGGCCATCAATTTGTAAAGATTTAGTAATTATTAAGAGCTGGGCAATATCTTATAAGGCTCCAAGTGCAGAGGGTGCAATGGACTTCACAGGATGCTTGCAAGGTTATTGTATTGATAAGAACCCTGATTTACCTCCTGTGTTATTGTGCATTACATGTGATTAAATGCATCCTTTCATAATCAATCCACATTTAATTATCATTATAGATTGATTAAACGGGAAGGATGCACTCGGGTGGCATAAAGGAGGAGGTTTGTAAGAAGGTGCAGTTGACATCAATGAATAGGGCTTCAGTTTCCTACTTGCCGCCCTGTTAACTCCCGCAAGCCTTGCAGGAGCTTTGTAGCCAGGAGAGGGTTGCAAGTTACTGGACTGTTACCTTCTAGCTATGTCTGTGGCTTCAGGCAATTCACAAAACCTCTGTGGGTTGCAGTTTCCTCTTCCTTAAAATGAGGGTAGTAATATCAACAGCAAAAAAGCACGAGCTAGTTCTTTCCTTTCAGACCCGCTGGGAGATAGTCTCCCTCCTACCTTGTCCCCACCCCAGCCTGTAGCCTCTGCAGACAAAAGGCTCTTCTCAGTCCCTGGGGCAAGAAAGAGGAACTCTGTTCCCTCTTCTGGGCTCCCTGTGGCCCAATCACAAGTCACACCTTGTAGAGAGTGCAGGACTAGTGACCTGTATCAAAAACCTGCCTGGAAGACTTAGCTCTTCTACGTATAAAATAATCTCCAAAGATTCATCATCATCTAATATTTATTCCGGAGACTGGAGCATGCAGATAAGGTGAGTGTGCGATGGCAGAAATGCAGAAAGAATTGACAGTGTCTAAGCCACAAGGTGCCACACTCACAGGGTGTGTTGTGAGCTTGGCTGGGGGACCCGGGAAGAGGAGAAAACCCATTCTAAGATGATGGCGTCTTCTGATGGGAGTTTCCCCAGTGACAGAGGCCGCTTCTGAGAACGGCAGCATTTTAGAACCTCACAGTCATCAAAACCTAGAATCTTGTAGCATTGAGTCTTAGAATTTTGACTTTAATAAGATCTCAAACTATAAAACTGAGAGTCAAATGTCAGAATCACAGGATATCAGAATTTCAGGGGCCTCAACCATAGTCTTGTCCAAACACCCAAACAGCATCCAAGTCATTCCAACACGTAGGGGCAAAGTCCTCCAGGCAGAGGGAGGAGCAAGTGCAGAGGCCCTGAGGCAGGAGTGTGTGGGATGCGTTTGAGGAAGAGAAAGACCTTGTTTGACCTCCCTGGACTGCTAAGAGCCTGAGACTTTGGGGCACATCAGGAATAAGGAGAGGATGCTCCCCACAGGGCTGGGCAATTTGAGAGCAGGTGCACAGTACACAGTGGGAGCTGATTAAAAGCCTGCGACATTCAGTTCAGGGCCCCACATGGTCAGAGAGATCCTGACATTGGGAGAGTCGCTGGGTGTGAGGAGCCTGGCTGGGAGCCAGATCGGGGAGGGTAGGGTAAGGTCCTGGGGTGTTTCCTTTTGGAGAAAAGAAGGGGGCGCCTTACAGGGGCCGTCGGTGTAAGGTTTGGGCTGCACATGGAGGCCCCAGGTGTTGCCCCAGATCGTAAGGAGGTGGGTCTGGCCAAGTGGATGGGAGGATTGCCAAGTCACACAGACCCAAACTCAAGGCCAGGCAAGGTCAAGGATCTTCCTGCGTGGCCCTGGGCCATAGGGGGCACCAATAGAGTAGAGGACAGCCTGACGAAGGGGCTCAGGATTGCTCAGGGTTTGCTTCTGTGACACATGAACGAGCTCAGAGGGTACCAGCCAGAGGCTGGGGCAATACCAGCATCCTGGGGATGATTTGAAGGACAGTGCTCATCTCAATCCGGACATTCTGCGAGGCTCCATTCTGGCCAGTAACCTCAGGGTCATGCTGCAGAGAAACAGCAAGGGAGGCAGAGGTGGGAGGGCTGAGGGGTGGGGGAGCATGGAGTCAGGAGAGGCTTTGGAGAGACCAGGAGAGGGTCACCTAGCAACTTGCTTACGTGGGCCTCTAGAGGATTCAGAGAACACTAATAAATGTCCACTAACTAAGCACCTCACCCACTGTGTGCCAGTTTATGAATGCATCCACTTGCAATTTTTCATACTTACTATGTGCCTGGCCCCATGCTGTGACTTGAAAAGAGAGTTGGGATTGAGACAGATGAGGTCCCTACCTTCATGGGCCTGTTGCTCGGGTGAAGTAGATGGAGGTAAAATCCCTTCAATAAACAAACAGTGAAACAATGATAGAATGAGGTGCGTGCCATAAAGAAAACCAGAAAGGGCCAAGATAGAACTGTGCCTCCTCACTCAATCCTCCAAAGCATCCTGTATTTGCAAGATCCTATTATAAGTCCATTTTACAGCTGAGAAATCTGAGGCCCAGAGAGGTGAGTAACTTGTTCCAGGCCCGTGGCTGGAAAGCAGCAGAGCCAGGATCTAAGTCTGCAACCAGCAGACACAACAGACTGGCTGGTCAGCCCCACCTGAAGTCTCTCCCTAAGGACATGGTGTTGTCAGTGGTGTTGGGAACCTGCCGTCCACCACAGGGACCACAGAGCCGGCGCTGCCCTGTGCGAAAGGGGCTTTAGAGTCAGGGGAACCTGGGTCTGAATTCTGTCTCCTTCACTTGCTTGCCGTGTGATTCTGACTGTGTTTATGGCATTTCCCTGTGTCTCAGTTTCCTCCTCTGTAAAATGGGAATGATGACCTCTATCTTGGAAGGCTATTGCAGGGATCAAATACGAGAAAGATGTAAAGTGTTTCTAGTCAGTGTTGAAAATGCTCTTCAGACACATAGGGCAGGGGTGTTAAAAAATGTGCTTCATGTATTTGAAAAAGGCCTATGCTCCCCTCTCTCTCTCTCATCGCTTTCAGAAGCTCTTTCCTTAACCGCACATGGGGTGGAAAGAACGCCTTGTCCAGAAGCCGGAGCACACTGAGGCTCTAAACTCCTGTTGTGTGGGCTGCAGCAGGCCACTGCTCTTCTCTGACCGTCAGTTTCTTCATCTGTCAAACTGGAACATGGTGCCCCGCTGGAAGGCTATTGTGAGGGCTGGACGTGGCAATGTAAATTGAGGGCCAAGTGTGGAGCCAGCACAGAGTGGACACTAAAATACACCAGGCTGTTTTATTTGGCAAAAGGGCTTCAGTTCTCTCTTTTAAACTCATACACTCTTTTTGGCTTCTAAATATGCAGTGGGGCAGGAAGAGCAATGAGTCTGGAAGCCAGAGATTCTCGTACCTCAATTATCTCCTGTCTCGGCTTTGCATTGTACCCTGGGTGAGCCATTGCACCTCCCTGACCCTCTGTGTCTTCATCTATAAGACAGAAAAAATTATGTTTACTCCTAAACCATAATGTTTGGCAAGACCCAGTGAACCTCACAAAGCACCCCCAAAAGGCAGACAGGATGAAGAGTTCTCCCTGTTGAGCTGTGTGAGCTGCCCAGATTGATATGCCTAGAAGGCACCCCATTTGGAAGTAAACACAGGCTCCATTTAAGGATGCACGGAAGACTGGAACACTTTATTCCCGAACACATTTATGTAAAATTAATTGCATCACCTGTTCTCTGCATCTTCTAATTGCAAAACCAATTAACTTTAAAATGCTCAGCACAGTGTGGCCAAGGGAAGGAAAGGCAAAGACCAGGCTGGCTTTGCAAACTCTGTGCCACTTGTAGTGGCCACGGTGGCCCTAGGAAGTCCCAGCCACTCCCATCTGCTGGCCGAGGGCCTGTGGGAGGCTGGGAGACTCTAGGAGATGAGCAAGACCCTCAGAGTCTGGGGCTGGAAACCTCCTAGCACAAGTGAGCTGGGTGGCCATGGGCCAAGTGATGGAGTGGACATTCCCCGGTGGTGGCCAGAATGACCCAATATAAACTACCCCTCCACTCAGCACCCCCATTCCCCTTACCCTGTATTTTGTTCCCCTCTGCCCTTTTCACTGCCCGACTGGCTGTGTAGCTATTTGTTTATCATTTTTCTCCTCAGTAAAATGTTGACTCCACAAAGACATGTCTATTGCACCTACTGCTGCGTGTCTGGGGCCTAGAACAGTGCCTGGCACATAGTAGGTGCTCAGACGAATGAATGAATGAATGAATGAACTAATGGACTTAAGCTCATTGTGAGAGGGGATTTTCATAGAATCGAAATGGTCCCTGGTGGGATGAACGGTCTTAAGGCAAAGGGTGTTCACTCCACCCCTGCAGCCATTTGCGAGCCCTTAGGTTGAGGGAACACAGGCACTGGCTGAGGGGTTATATTTGTTCTTAAAACCTTTTACCCAGCCCCATGTATGCACCCCTTTCTGTCTGCTCTGCCCAGAGATTTTAGGCTCCTCTCTCTCAGGGGAAGGGAGTGATTTGGTATCAATCAACCATGAGCTCAGCTCATGTTTCTTAACTAGCTAGTTAACAGCTTACTTCTTTGTGACTCAATTTTCTCATTTCCTGAGACTTTCAGGGCGGCGAAGAACGGGGAGGAAATATGCTTTGTAAAGGAAAAATGCACACACACAGAGTTCATTGACTTCCCCCCGGTTTTCAGCGTCTGTGAATGCACACGGTACCTGCTGACAGCTACCAGAAGAGGTCTGGCTGCAACCGAGATTGTGCTGGGAAAGAGGCCCGGGCAGCAGTCTCCAGTAGCCAAGACACCGGCAGGGCCATATTAAAGCATTCAGTTCCAAGCACCCCCAGGAGGGAGCTGTGGGTAACAAGGGGCAGCAGGGAGTGGGCAGGTGGGGAGAATAATGTACGAATCCCCCCTCCTCCTTCCAGGAAGCCTCACTCCTCTGCTCGGGCTGCTGTACCACGTTTCAGAGACTATCTTGATCTCTCAATACAAGCAGTCGATGAGATTCACACATTCGGGGCGGGGAGGATGAGATCCAGGTGGCCTTATGTGATTCCTTTTCAGTGTGCGAATGGGTACATTGGCCTGGAGAGAGAGCCTGCCAGCCAGCCCTGCTGCTGGTTTTCTGCAAGGCCTAAGTTTGGCACAGGAGATGCAGGTACTATGAGTTAGGGGTAGGGCTGGTGGTGGGGTGTCTGGCAGGAATCAGTGTTGAGGAAAATTTCAATGATTCATCAGCGAATCAGGGACAGAACTGCAGCTTCCCCATGTGAGGAGCCCTTGAGTGACGGATGGTTCCTGGATCCTCCTGCCCTGCAGTTTGCCTTTCTCTGAAGGTGATGGATTCAAAAGCAGCTCTAATGAGCCTAGAGTGGGTTACGAGGCAGCCACTGGCAGGCTGCCTCCCCTCCTCCTGCCTGGCCTTCACCTGCTGGGTATGGCTCATAGGAGAGACACTTGGATAAACTCAAAGACTCTGCAGGGACAGAACCAGCCAAGGGGAGTCAGTGGGGCTGCCCCAGGAGGGGTGGATCGGCCTGGGCAGATGGGGTCCCCGGGTGAGTTCTCTACCTCAGTCGCTCATGCCCAGAGCAGTGCTGTGAAGGCCCAGTGGCCACCTCCTTCTCCTGGGTATGATGCTCTGGTGGTCCATGACTGTGCCTGCCCCTCTCTAGCCCCATCCAGCCACTCACAATAGAGGAAGGAACATGGGAGGTACAGCCCATGAACCTGGTCCAGACCCCTCACCATCACCAGGTCCCTGAGTCGCTGTCCGTAAGACGGGGCTGGTAGTGACATCAATCTCAGAAACGAGGAGAAACTTGCAATGAGTACATCCTCCAAGGAGCTCTTGGGGCCCCTTTCACAGCCAGCCCCACACCCTGCCTGCAGCCTGGCAGACGCGGATAGTGGTAGAGACGATAGAGTGGGTTTCAAAGGCACCCAGACCTGGGCTCAAGTCCTGTCTCAGCCGTGTGCTCCTTGGCAGGTCACTAACCTCCTCTCTGTGCCTCATTCTCCTCATCTGTAAAAGGGGGTTATTGCCACTGCCATCGCACAGGGGCGTGATGAGGTGAAATGAGCTAACGGAAGTACAGGCAGGCACACAGCAAGTGCTCAATAAATAGCAGCTCTGATGATCACCATCATCATGATTATCATCGTCATCATCATCATCTGATCTTTCTCTCTGCAGTACTGAAATATTATGTAATTGGGACCATACTGTATACTCATTTCTCTTCCCTTACCATTCTAACATCAGCATTTTCCCACATCATTGAAAATTCCTCAAAAGCATGATGTTAATAGCTTCGTAATTGTACTTCATTTCGATGCACCATCATTTACCTCACCATCCTCGACTGTCAGATGCTCGGAGGCTTCCGGGACTGTTCTTACACACATCAGGCTGCCATGAATGTTTTGGGCACCATTTGCCTGAGTGCCTGACCATCTCCAGGACAGATTCCTGCAGGTGGGAACAGGGTACCAAGAAATGGAACGCATCCCAGGCTGGGGGTCTTCATCATCCAGTCGCTTTCCTGAAGTCACCTGACTGGCACCCCAGCAACCCATGGGGTTGCCTGTCCCCCCAGCCAGATCCCTGGCCTGGGGCCCCTGACTCCCAGCAACTTGATAGTCAAATCAGATCCCGGGTGCCCAGGAAGCCTCATGACAAACACAAGAAGCAGGCTGGGGCCAGCAGCCTCCAGCACGGAGTCAGGGCAGCTGGTGCCATCCCATCTGCCCCTGTGCTCCAGGTTCAAAATCATAGTCAGGAGGCCCCAGCATGAGAGGGACCAGGGGGCGGTTGCAGAGGCCCACCTGCCTGAGGGACTGGAGCCTCACAGGACAAGACTTTTGCTTCTCAGATGTCCAGGTCCGAGTCCCTGTGGGTTCACAAAGTAACTCCTGTTTGCTGGGCCTCCTGGACAAGGTGCAGTGTCAGGGCTTTCCAGGACCCCTATGGGCTCCCTGTGACCCCCAGGGGCTCAGGTCCTGTGAGGGGGAGTGAGGATGCCCAGTTACACACAAGGACCCTGTGCTCACAAAGGTCCAGGGAGGTGCTCATGGCCAGCGTTGCTTTCAGACACAATGTCACATTAAAGCCGGTCCCCAGGAACCCTTGGGAGATTTTTAACAGCCAAAGGGGGAAGGCTGAGGAGGATTTCAGGCTGTAAAAGAGGCTGGGGAAGGGAAGGAGGTCAGTGGCTGAAGGTCCACAGGATGAGGACAGACTCCTGTGGGCGGGGCCATCCCAGCTTTTGGGTGGGGCCAGCCTGGGCCAGAGATTTAACCATTTTAGAGACAGAAATGGGATCACAGCATCCAGTCAGGTGAGAGTCCACCTAGGAGGACCCAGGTTCACTGTGAAGGGAGGCTGCCCTGGCCTGCCTTCTCCCACAACCCTAAAAGCCTCTGCCATGTTCTAAGAAATGGGGCAGACACCCCTTTCTCTGGGGAGGCAAAGGCTCCATTTGCAAGTATAAGGTGCCTGCCCATTTCCAGCATTATTCACTGTTTGAGACGCCCATGTCCTTTCTTGGTTGGTGTGACATGTGTGATTTGAAGCTTGGGAAGAACAGTACAGGGCCTGGACTGGGGCTGCCTTGAGAGGAAGATGCTGTGCTTTCCACTGCGGCCCTGTCCTGGAGCCATGCCCCTCCCCAGGCCCTGCCTCCTTCCCTTCCATAATCACTCACTGAGCCACTGCTGGGTGTCCGGGGCTGCGGTGGCTGCCACAGGGTGGTGGACGCACCATCTGTGGCCAGGGACAGCTGTGATCCATCTTGGCCCCCAAAGCATCGCTTGGGAGGAGAAGGGGGGCTGCCCCGAGGAAGGAGGGGGAGAAAGAGGCCTCGAGATGCGGAGGTGGAAACAGAATCCATCAGGCGGTCCCTCTGGGCGGCTGCAGATGTGCAGCCCCGGACAGTTCTATCTCCTCATGCCTCCACTGAGATCGGCTCCACGAACACTCACCTTGAGAATTCACCAGGGAATGGGGCGAGGGTCCTAGGCTCTCTGACCTGCGGTGTGACCCTGTGCAAGTGCTGTGCCCGCTCAGGCTGTCCGAGTCTCCATCTGTACAATCAGGTGGTTGGGGCAGCTCAGGGGTTCTCAATTTCGGGTGTGCTTTAGGACATCTGAGAATAGGGTGGGACTTTAAAGGACACAGATATCTGAGCCCTAAGCCCAGAGTTTCTGACTCTCAGTCTGCAGTTGTATGATGTGACATCCCTGTCAAGAGCTGGAGCTCTGGAGTCCAACAGCCCTGGGCTCCAAGCCCTAGGCAGCCTCTCACCAGTTGTGTGACCTTGGACAAGTGCCTGCCCCTCTCTGAGCTTGTCTTCTGGGGACTGAGGATTGTCATAGTACCTGCTGCCTGGGGATGTGGGAGGATGTTTGGAACCAGTGACTCCAAAGTGCTAACCCAGGGCTCACACTGGAGCCCAGGATCTGTCAGTGACTGTCACTGGAACCCTGGTCATGTGGACTCAGCTGTGCCCAACGGTCTTATCCTGGAAGGACGTGCTCCGTGCCTTCTGGGGACCCCCCTACACGGGCTCTCTCTGCACACTCTCATCGCACTTGCTGGTCCGGTTGTCTCCTTCCCCAGGGTCTGCAGCAGCTCTTCCTGTTCGCTCCTCCTGATCAATCTCCCTGTTCTTCTCCCACTTAACAAACAGCCTCACTTAAAAAGCCATCTGGGAGGATGGATGACACAAGGCACAATTTGCAGAATAAGTTTTCAGAGAAAAGAGCTAAGGAAATAAAGGCACTTAGGATTCCAATCTCATTAGGCGCCATAACTCTGCCTGTGGAGGAGAATCGTGTTCCTGCCTTCTCTGCTCCCCCTGCCTGGCTGCCTTCCCCACGTTCTGGGCTCCATCACCATTTGTCTTCTGGGGGGGCCTGCTCTGGTGTCTCTGGTTGCTTCCCTCCCTCAGGTTAAACCCCATCTTTCGCCAGGATGGGTGGCATCGGGGCTTTTCTAATTCAAATCCTCTCTTCTGTGTGGTCGCTGCCCGATCTCAGGTAGCTGCGCCCTCCCCCTCCAGGAGTCCTGGGAAAAGGTTTGTCTTCTGCGTGGTCTCCCGAGACAGATTGGGGGCCAAGGGGTGAGAAGAAAGGATGTGTCAAAAGCTGGGATGAATGGGCGGCCCTGGGGAAGGTAATGAGCTCCCCGTCACTGGAGGTGTGTATGGAGGATGGGTGAGCACTCAGCAGAGAGGCTTTGCAGGAGGCAAAGTAGCAGAGGCTGAGACCATGGCCTTTGGAGGCCCAGAGGTCTGGGCTGAGCCCCAGCCATGCTGCCTTCCAGGTGCCTGGCCTTCAGCAACTGACTTACCCGCACTGAGCCGCAGTTTCTTCATCTGGAAAATCAGGCAAAATAATCATTGCTACTTTCCAGGGTTGTCATGGGGACTAAATGACATGTGTGCAAGGCGCTGAGCACAGAATGCATATTATCATACCCAGGAGGAGGAGGTGGTCAAGATTTTGACACTGAAGAGATTTAAGATTCAACATTTCTGTGATTTTAAAAACCAAAGTCTCTGAGAGTCTATGATTCAAGTATCCTAAAATTGTAAGACTTCATTAGATGCTAAGGCTTTCAGATAGTGCGATTTCCTTTTGCTTCTCATCTAAGGCTGGAGAAATCTAAGGCTATGTGATCCCTAGACCATCTCTTCATTTCCCCAGCAGCAGTACCTGTCCCTGACCTGGGCCGTCTGCTACATCCTGAGCATCCAAATATTTCTGTCTCTTGTTCCTCTTCAGATCTTCTCTTTTTATTTCCACTGGCCTGACTGCTTCTGTTTAGTGCCCTTTGCCCAAATCTAGCCCTGTCTACTGAACCCTTTGTCCTGGATGCACCAGCTCCCTCAGCGTTCCAGCCCTGTGCCCTGCACATCCCACCTCACCCACCACCCCATCTATCTCCCTAGCTCTGCCAGTTGCAATCCTACCCCACCCTCTTGGAAGCCAAGATCAAAAGGAGAACTTCTATAAGGTTTCTTTCAACTTCAGTGGAAATCAATGTCCTGTGGCACAAGCCTCCAGCACACCTTATTTAAATAACTGCATAGCAGTTATCACAGTCTGACTTCTTAGTGTTGTTGGGGAAGAAACTTCGGCCCTCATGCTAGACCCACATCTGGTATCCTTCCAAGACTCTGCCACACTTTCCCAGACTTCCTCCTCATTTTCAATCTCACTTTCTCACCTCTCTTTCTCTCCTCATTCCTTACAGCTAGGTGCTCACTATGGACTGACTGTGTCCCCTCAATTCATGTGCTGATCCCTAACTCAAAATATGATGGCATTTGGAGATGGGGACTTTGGGAGGAAATTAAATTCAGATGAGGTCGTGAGGGTGGGGCCTCATGGTGGGGTTGGTGCCCTTGTAAGAAGAGACTCCAGCAAGCAAGCTTGCTCTCTCTCTCTCCATCATGTGAAGACAACAAGACGATGGCCATTCACAGCTGGGAAGAAAGCCCTTGCCAGAACCTGATCACACTGGCACACTGATCTTGGAATTCCAGGCTCCAGAACTGTGATAAAACAAATTTCTGTTGTTTAAGCCACCAGTCTGTTTCTGTTATGGCAGCCTGATATAGTTTGGCTCTGTGTCCCCACCCAAATCTCATCTTGAATTGTAGCTCCCACAATTCCCATGTGTTGTGGGAGGGGCCCAGTGGGAGGTAACTGAATGATGGGGGTGGGTCTTTCTCGTGCTGTTCTCACCATAGTGAATAAGTCTCAGGAGATCTGATGGTTTTATAAAGAGGAGTTCACCTGCACAAGCTCTCTCTCTTTGCCTGCTGCCATCCATGTAAGACGTGACTTGCTCCCCCATGCCTTCCACCATTGATTGTGAGTCCTCCCCAGCCATGTGGAACTGTACGTTTCTGTCTTTATTCCCAGTCTGGGGTATGTCTTTATCAGCAGTGTGAAAATGGACTAATACACAGCCCCAACTGACAGTGTCCCAGTTCTCCCCAGCACCCTCCTCTCTTCTTATTCTGTGTGAGCTCATCTACATCCACGGGTCCCCACTGCCCATGCCCAGAACACCTCCTGATGAAGCTCTTCCTGAGCTGTGGTCCATATCAAGGGCCAGACAGGCCACCCTGCTTTCTGGACCTTTCTGTCTGGGGCTCCTGCAGCTGCTGCCCTCTGGGTGGCCCACAGCCTCTTTCCACTGGACACATTCAAAACCAAACCTTCATTTTCCCATCAAATTGCTCCTCAGCCTCATGCCCTGCAGCCTCTGCTCACCCCAATCAAAAATGAACGGGCATACCCAACTCGCCCTCTCCCCACACCTCAGGCACCATCCTCTCCTGTCAGTTTGAACACCTTACACCCTTGGAATTCCCCTCTCCCTTACCTTCTTCCCTCTCCCCCATCTCAGACCTGGTGATCTCTGGCCCAGACATCCCCACACCCTCCTACTGGTTCCTCAGCTCCACCTGCCTTGCAATCCATCCACCCTGCACACCCTGAGATCTGAGTGAGGGGGGTCCAAATTTAGGGGGCCCTGCTCTAGCTCTAGATACCCCAGCCTCAAAATCCCTGCCTGCTCCCAGGACCCACATGGCCTCTTCTCTGTGCTGTCGTGCCCAGCTGTTGGCCCCAGATGTTCAGCTGTGTGTGAGAAGGTATACAAATAGAGCATAGACTTGCAGGGTGGGGTGTCACACACTGTGTGAGACTGTGGTGTGGGACTGGGCCACGGGAGGAGAGGAGAGCAGGGGGCTGGTCCCAAACTGGTCAGTCCCAATTTCTCAACACCATAGGGCAAAGCAGAATGCTGAGGGGTCTGAGAATTCCAAATTCAAACCTGGCTCTCCAGGTCCTTTTGAAAATGTGTCAGCCCAGGCAGGGGAATGGAGCATGTTGGATTTAACAGATGTGACTTGTGAAGCTTCATGCTCAGTCACTGACCTGTGCCCTCCACTGGTTCTTGTGCCCTGGGCTGCACAAATGCTGGGGACAGCTGGATCACCAGGCAGAGTGATTGTCCCACACACAGGCCGATCACATTGCTTTCCTGCCTAACATCCTTCAGTGGCTTCCACAGCCTGGGTGACTTTCTGCTCAGACTGGGGCGAGGAGCAGGCAGGCGTCCTGGATCCAACCCTGCAAGCCCCAGGTGAGTGCCCAGGGCTGCCCCATGTGGTAGCTGTGGCTGGCAGAGCAGAAGGAGAAGGTCCTGGATCCACTGCCCTTGCCTCCCTCTAACCATGATGCCCCACAATGGCCTCACCCCTAATGCCATGATAGAGCTGGACTGAGCCTGCACGGTGCCATCTCAAAGCTCCTGGGTGAAAAGCTGCTCCATCTCAAAGCTCTAGCTGGTGAGGAAGCTGCTCCAAAGTGAGGGTTTGGGCTGCAAAACCGGGGGGCCAAGGGCAGGAGTGGTCATCAGTATCTCCTTCCTTTCTCTTCCCTACTCTCCCTGCCTCTCCCCTCCCCTCCCCTCCACACCTCCACAGCTCAGGAGGTCTGCTAGGAATTCATTGTTGAATCCCCCACTGCTCCCAGCAGGATGTGCTCTCAGTGCCGGTCCACATAGAAGGAGCGTGTGTGTGTGTGTGTGTGTGTGTAGGAGAGATCCAGGTTCTTACCTGATTCCACAAGGACACAGATGCCCAACACCTCCCTGTGGGGTCCTCCAAGCCTCATCCCAGCCACTCCATCTGCCCCAGAAGACCTAGAGGGCCTCCTTCCTCACCACCATCGCAGAAATCCCAGCAATGGGTTTCTGTGGCTCAGCTCGGGTCGCCTGCCCATCACGGATCCACTCACTGCACGGGGGATGGAAGAAAGGCCCTGCCTGGCTGTGCCCGGACCCGCCCCACAGAACTGCATGAACTGAGCAGGGTTGGGAGGGACAGTTCCCAAAGAGAGACGGGGGTCCTAACACCACAGAGGAATAGGTGCTGCTGGCAGAAGGACAGCTGGGCCCCTGTAAGGCACTCAGGGCAGCCAGTGGCTCCAGGGAGCAGACAGGGCCAGGGAAGGCCAGCCAGGCCTGAGTGCTGCAAGGGCAGCTTGGACACAAGGTGGGAGCTGGCGGCTGTGGGTTTCAGGATCCAGGATCAGCCTCAGCCACGTGGGCAGAGAGTCCGAAAACCGAGGCTGAGCACTGTTGTGCACTGAAGGCCAACAGTACACGCGGGGCTCTCCCTTGGCCACAGCTCAGTGTCAATGTAGCCAAGTGAGGCCCAGCTACTTGGGATGGAGGCAGGAGTGACCAAGGCCCTGAAAGGCCTGGCTGAGGTTGGGGCTTTGTATGTCAGCGAGATGCATCTGTGGGGAAGTTGGGACTGACCTGGGGGACTATGAGAGCACTTCCCACCCTCCTAGGTGGGAATCTTGGCACCGGACCCCGGCTCCTCCCTGGCCCACCCCTGCTTCTGTTCTGGAGGCTGACCCTGCCCTGGCTCCTCCCTGCCGTGCCCTGTTGATCCATGTAGGTCTTGGGCTTTGTAGGCAGCAGACTTGGGTTGGAATCCTGGTTCTAGGCCCATGTCTTGCATGAGCCTCTTCCTTACCCTGCAGCCTCAGTTTCCTCATCTGTAAAGTGGGGATGATGAGGCCAATCTTGCAGGGCTTGGATGGAGGGGCTGGGGAGCCATGTG